TTAGTCTGGCTGAAAAAAGGCAAAAGTCCATCCAGTTCAACCATTAAAAAAAAAAAAATTATAATCCTACACCCACAGTTGATTCAGAGGAAGGAAAAAATAAAACCCAGCAAAGCACGATCCAATTTGCTGGGGAAAAAAAATGATGGTCTGAATATACAAGTGAAAGCCAAACACCTGAAAAGTGGCATGTGTAAAGGACTTTGTGTATTCAGGGTTGGGCTAATTGCCAGCCGGTCTGGGGTGGGCTCCCTGAATAATCCAAAGCATTGACTGGATGCCTGGATTTCAATTAGATCGCTGTTGGTTGTACCGGTTACCATTTGCATTGTTTAGGATAATGTGCTCCAGCTGTGTTTATTGTTCATGTGGGGACTGCCCCTATTGCTGGAGTGTATAAAACCTGTGGTTTTTGTTCAATAAAGAGTTCCTATTTGGCAGTCTTGTTCAGTTCTTGGGTGCAATGCCTAGCTTGTGTTCCAATGGCGAGGAAGTGGCTCTCTGACGGAGTCACCCAATTGGGGTGACATGCGTTCCGTCAACATTCATCAAGTCATTTTTTTTTTTTTTTAAATAAAATTCAGGTGTGGTCACTGAAACAGGAAGTAAGAGTAAGTTCCCTAAACACAGACATTTACAATCTGAATGAGGTTCTAACTCTTTCCCCACTTGCCACAGCGCTAAATAAAAGGTTTTGGCTGGAGTTCCACATATACAAAAATAAATTCTGTACAATCGCAATACTAAAAGTAGAAAAGAAAATGTTTTCAGTTCATATCCTCCAGAAGTCTACCCACCATGGCAGGAAAAGTCACCCATCTTTTTAGATGGGGTGGGGGTAGCTATTCCTTTGGTTCAGTTTGTTGAGCATAGTTCCATCCTCTGCTCCAGGCAGGGATCCCTTCACATAGTTGATGAGGAATTATTCCAGTTTGGTGGTCTACATCCCCCTCCATTCAGATGTAGATCTTCAATCACTTTAGGAGTATGAGTAAATGTATATTCCTTGTGCATGGGTTGACAGCACCAACCTCCATGATACTCAGAGGAGGATCTTCAGGGATTCCATGGAAAAATGTGGAAAAGTTTTGGATGGGTTGTGAATACCAACCTTTAATAAACTGAGGAAAATCTTGTGGGATCTTATGAGTGGATTCATCATCGATGAGTTGCCAATGTCCAACCTCCATGATACTCAAAGGAAGATCTTCAGGGGTCCATTGGGTAGATTTGGGTCCAACCTCAATAATACACCAAGGAATATATTCAAGGGTACATTGGGTAGATGTGGATGAGTTCAGAAAATCCAATCTCCTCAGTACTGAGAGGAAGATCTTCGTGGAGTCTCCGGGTGGCTGAGGATTGGGTTGAGAAAATCCTTCCTCCATAATCCCTAGAGGAACCTCTTCACTTATTACTTTGCAATGCATCTGAAAAGAGGAAAAATACACCTACAGGATTGGTTGACAACACCATCCTCCATGATACTCAGAAGAGGATCTTCAGGGGTCCCATGGGAGGATGTGAAATAGTTGTTGGCGGGTTGTGAACACCTAGCCTCCAATAAGCTGAGGAAGATCTTCAGGAATCCCACGAGTGGATTCATCGTGGATGGGTTACCAATGTCCAACCTCCATGATACTGGGAAGGGGATCTTCAGGGATCCCATGGGAGGATGTGAAATAGTTGTGGGTGGGTTGTGAACACCTAGCCTCCAATAAGCTGAGGAAGATCTTCAGGAATCCCACGAGTGGATTCATCGTGGATGGGTTGCCAATGTCCAACCTCCATGATACTGAGAAGAGGATCTTAAGGGGTCCCATGGGAGGATGTGGAATAATGGTGGTGTTGTGAACACCTAGCCTCCAATAAGCTGAAGTAGATGTTCAGCAATCCCACGAGTAGATTCATCGTGGATGGGTTGCCAATCTCCATGATACTCCAAGGAAGATCTTCAGGGGTCTATTGGATAGATGTGGATGGGTTGCGAAAATCCAACCTCCTCGATACTCAGAGGAAGATCTTCATGGATCGTGATGGCTGTGGATTCATTGCGTATGGGTTGCGAAAATCTTCCTCCATAGTACCCAGAGGAACCTCTTCTTCTCTTTTCACTTTGCAACACATCTGAAAATTGGAAAGACACAACCACAGGTCAGATAACTAAGCAAGGCGGGGCCACCGTCAGCAATGTAAGACCTGGGGTACCTTTTGGCACCGTAAAGAGAGTGGTAATGTGGCAAATAGTGGGTGTGGCCAAATAATGTTAACAGTGGGAGGGGCTTAGAGTAGTATCAAGTCCTTGGCTTTTATTAAAATGTATTGGGTAATTTCAAGAAGTGCAATATTATCCAATACATTTTTTTCTAATATCTATGTCCACAAGTTTACTTTACCCCCCCCCCCCCCCCCCCCAGCAATCCCCATAAAAAATGTTTTGATTGCTGCAAGCAAACCTCACACACACAGTGAAGGAATTGTGTATTTTCTCCCCTGCTGATGTTGAATGTTCGCCCCCTCACAAAGAAATGATCGGTCTAACAATGGAATGTTCGGTGTAACACTGAGAGACAGAATACAACAACAAATTCAGCAGAAATGCGTCTAACAAATGATGACTGATCTGCATGTTCATGAGGGAAATAAGGATTTGATCCCCTTCACAAAACATGACTTAGTACTTGGTGGCAAATCCCTTGTTGGCAATCACAGAGGTCAGACATTTCCTGTAGTTGGCCCCCAGGTTTGCACACATCTCAGGAGGTATTTTGGCCCACTCCTCTTGGCAGATCCTCTCCAAGTCATTAAGGTTTGGTGGCTGACGTTTGGCAACTCGAACTTTCAGCTCCCTCCACAGATTTTCAATCGGATTATGGTTTGGAGACTGGCTAGGCCACTCCAGGACCTTAATGTGCTTCTTCTTGAGCCACTCCTTTGTTGCCTTGGCCGTGTGTTTTGGGTCATTGTCATGCTGGAACACCCCTCCATGACCCATTTTCAATGCCCTGGCTGAGGGAAGAAGGTTCTCACCCAAGATTTGAGGGTACATTGCCCCGTCCATCGCCCCGTTGATGCGGTGCAGTTGTCCTGTCCCCTTAGCAGAAAAACACCCCCCAAAGCAGAATATTTCCACCACCATGTTTCACAGTTGGGATGGTGTTCTTGGGGTCATAGGCAGCATTCCTCCTGCTCCAAATACGGCGAGTTGAGTTGATGCCAAAGAGCTCGATTTTGGTCTCATCTGACCACAACACTTCCCACCAGTCCTCCTCTGCATCATTCAGATGTTCAGTGGCAGGCTTCAGACGGGCCTGGACATGTGCTTTCTTGAGCATAGGGACCTTGCGGGCACTGCAGGATTTCAGTCCTTGTCGGCGTAGTGTGTTTACCAATTGTTTTCTTGGTGACTGTGGTCCCAGCTGCCTGGAGATCATTGACAAGATCCTCACGTGTAGTTCTGGGATGATTCCTCACTGTTCTCATGATCATTGACACTCCACGAGGTGAGATCTTGCATGGTGCACCAGACCTAGGGAGACTGACACTTGTTTTGTGTTTCTTCCATTTGTGAATGATTGCACCAACTGTTGTCACCTTCTCACCAAGCTGCTTGGCCATAGTTTGGTAGCCCAGTCCAGCCTTGTGTAGGTCTACCATCTTGTCCCTGACATCCTTGGACAGCTCTTTGGTCTTTGCCATGGTGGAGAGTTTGGAATCTGATGGTTTGATTGCTCCTGTGGACAGGTGTCTTTTATACAAGGAACAAAATGAGATTAGCAGCACTCCCTTTTAAGAGACTGCTTCTAATCTCAGCTTGTTACCTGTATGAAAGACACCTGGAAGCCAGAAATCCTGCTGAATGATAGGGGATCAAATCCTTATTTCCCTCATGAACATGCAGATCAGTCATCATCTGTTAGACGCATTTCTGCTGAATTTGTTGTCTATTCTGTCTCTCAGTGTTACAATACACCAAACATTCCATTTTAGACCGATTTTTTTTTTCCATTGTTAGACCGATCATTTCTGTGTGAGGGGCGAACATTCAGCATCAGCCGGGGAGCAAATACACATTTCCTTCACTGTAATCGCTCCATTAAAATAGTCAGGGACGGCTTGGCATCCAGCAACTGCTGAGACAATGAACACTTTGGTGAGAAGTATGTAATGTACAATACAGTGCAGTCAGTGCTGAGCTCAGAAGTACACAACACAGAATGCAGGGGTCAGGATTATGCAACACATAAAACACAGGGAAAGGTTGTCTGGAACTGGAGAAGCAACAAGAACCTTCATGGCCCCCGTGTAAGAAACCATGAAGGGCCCCCTGACCCCCCCCCCCCCTTCAGAGTATTCTTATTATTATTATACAGGATTTATATAGCGCCAACAGTTTGCTCAGCGCTGTACAATATCAGGGAGACAGTACAATTACAATACATTTCAGTACAGAAGGAATAGGAGGGCCCGGCTCGTGGAGCTTACAATCTAAAGGAAGGGGGAGGGGATACAAAAGGTGATAGCTGCGGGGGATGATCTGGTGGAGGTGATTCAAGTACAGTTCTTAGGTGGAGGTGGGGTAGGCTTCCCTGAATAAGTGAGTTTTCAAAGATCGCCTAAAGGCAGACAGGTGGGGGCTGACCGGACATACTGTGGTAGGGAGTTCCAGAGGATGGCAGAGGCTCTGGAGAGTCCTGGAGGCGAGCGTGGGAGGAGGTGATGAGGGAGCTAGAGAGGAGGATATCATGGGGGAGCTGAGCGGGTGATTTGGCCGATATCTGTGGATGAGGTTGGTGATGTAGCCGGGGGCAGTGTTGTGGATGGCTTTGTAAGCTGTGGTTAGTATTTTGAATTTTATACGTTGGGTTAGTGGAAGGCCAGTGAAGGGATTGGCAGAGAGGGGTGGAGGATACTGAGTGGAGGCCAGTGGAGGGATTGGCAGAGAGGGGAGAGGACACTGTGGAGGCCAGTGGAGGGATTGGCAGAGGGGGGTGGAGGCTGAGTGGAGGCCAGTGGAGGGATTGGCAGAGGGGGTGGAGGACACTGAGTGGAAGCCAGTGGAGGGATTGGCAGAGAGGGGTGGAGGACACTGAGGGATTGGCAGAGGGGTGGAGGACACTGAGTGGAGGCCATGGAGGGATTGGCAGAGAGGGGTGGAGGACACTGAGTGGAAGCCAGTGGAGGGGGAGAGAGAGGCAGCAGTCGGATCGGTTGGTAAGGAGCAGCAGCAGTCGCTGATCGGTTGGTAAGGTGGATGAGTCTAGCAGCAGCATTCATAATAGACTGAAGGGGGATAGCCTGTGTAATGGTTAGACCAGTGAGGAGGGAGTTGCAGGAATGGAGGCGGGATATAACCAAGGCGTGGATAAGTTGTTTTGTGGTGTCATTGGTCAGGAAGGGGGGATTTTGGAAATGTTCCGGAGGTTGAGGCGGCAGGATTTAGCCAGTGAGTGGATGTGGGGCCCAAAGGAGAGGTCAGAGTCTAGGATTACGTCTAGCACCCTGGCATGAGGGGAAGGACCAATGGTTGTGCTGTTGATTTTCATAGTAAAGTTAAGACGTGAGTGGGGGATCGGGGGGGGGGGAAATATTACAAGCTCAGTTTTTGAAAGATGGAGTTTAAGGTAGTGATGTGACATCCATGCTGATATGTCGCTTAGTAGATTTGTGATATGTGAGGAGAGTGAGCTGAGCGGGGGAGTGGAGAGATAGATCTGGGTGTCATCAGCATAGAGGTGGTATTGGAAGCCATAGGAGGTTATCAGTTGGCCCAGGGAGGAGGTGTAGAGAGAGAAAAGAGGACAGAGGGGTACCCCAATAGAACGGGGAAGCGGGGCGGAGGAGGAGGAGTTGTATGTGACACTGAAAATGCGCTGAGAAAGGTAAGAGGAGAACCAGGAGAGAGCAGAGTCACGGAGGCCGATGGAGAGGAGTTTACTGAGGAGGAGCGGGTGGTCGACTGTGTCAAAGGCAGCGGAAAGGTCAAGGAGTATGGAGTAATGGCCATTGGTTTTACCAGTTTATTGTAGGGCCCTTTCCATCGGTCGCAGGGCCCTTCCAACTGATACGAGCAGGGCTGTGAATAAGGGGATACTACCAATCCTCTTGTCAGGACAGCAGGGGTGCCCAGGCAGCTGGGTGATTTGGATGTGGACAGGACGGGTGATCAGCACAGCGGGGGGGGGCAGTTACTGGAACCGATCCCCTGTACGGCTCTCTCTGCAGCAGCTGAAAACTGGCTTCTCTCCCTGCCACTGGCTTTCAGCTGCTGCAAAGGGAGCTGTACAGGTGATCGGTTCCTGTAATTGACCCCTGTGCACCATATGTTTCCTCCTGCTGCCCAGGTCCCCTGTGTGCCCCCATCCCCACAGTGCTAGCTTTCAGCTGCTGCAAAGGGAGCCATACAGGGGATCGGTTCATGTAATTGCCCCCTGCCGCACCCATCACCCTTGCTGTGCACCATATGTTTCCTCCTGTTGGCCAGGCCCCCCTGTGTGCCCCCATCCCCACAGTGCTGGCTTTCAGCTGCTGCAAAGGAAGCCACGGGGTCCGGTTTCAGTAATTGCCCCCTGTGCGCCATATGTTTCCTCCTGCTGCCCAGGCCCCCTGTGTGCCCCCATCCCCACAGTGCTGGCTTTCAGCTGTTGCACAAAGGGAGCCATACAGGGGAATCGGTTCATGTATTTGCCCCCTGCTGCACCCTTCCTCCTGAATAAAGCACCATCACCCTCGCTGTGCACCATATGTTTCCTCAGGGTGGCTGTTGGTCCCAGGTTTCTAACAGCCCCCTGGTGTTTACTTCCCCACCCACAAGTGCTGCCGGCTTCCCTGCTCTCTCCTTTTCTGCCACTGGCAACTGCAAGCTACATGATAGGTGGAGAGGGGGAAGGGTTCCAGTATATATGTCACATTTACCAGCCCCTTCCTTTCCTGAATAAGCACAATGCAGTGATTGGTACTGTAGGCAGAGGTTGGGGGGGGGGGAGAGGAGGAGGGGCCTGACAGGGTGGCTGTATGGTTGGGTCAGAGCCCAGGGTTTCTAAGCAGCAGTCCTGGATAGCAGGTCTCTTTACTTCCATTGCAGTGGCCCCCTTAAGGGCCTGCAGTGGGACCCTTTCCCGTGCTCTACTGCATGAGCCCCCTAACTGCCATCTTGGGCTCCCCCAATACATGATAGAGCAGAGGTGAAACGGCAGTGAGGGTCCGGTTGCAAGTGTGACCTTTTTGACCCTGGTAGTTTCCGCCACTTAACAGTAGGGCAGTGGAATGGTGTCAGTAGAGCAGTGATCGATGAGAGGTTGTGTGTCAGAGCAGTGAGCGGTGTCAGTAGAGCAGAGGTTGGTGTCAGAGCAGTGAGCGGTGTCTGTAGGGCAGTGGATGGTGTCAGTAGGGCAGAGGACATTTTGTACATTTTTTTTGCAATTGTATTTTTAAAATTTTTTTCCAGGAGCCCTGTTGGAGGGCTTTGATGAAATAACAGGAGACTAAGCAGACCTCTGATGTGTCACTTTTCCAGGTAAAGGAACTGAGGACAGACATTCCTCAGTCCCTTTCTCTGCAGCCTCAGCTGCACTGCACAGTGAACAATTGGAAGTGCTCTGTGCTGAGAGGCTTCTCATTCATTCACAAACTGAAGCATAGTAAACACAGTTTACTATTGGGAGGAGAACACACAAAGGGGACAGCTTTTTCTATAACCAATCAGCTGTAATTACTTGCAGCAGCTTAATGCCCGTGGGAGGGGAGGAGGAGGAGGGGGCTTTCAGCTGCTGCAGGAAAATACGACTGATCAGTCATTGTAAATGCTGTCCTCGCCGCCCCTCCTGTCTCTTCTACTCCTGCGGCCCACTGGAGCATGGGGGGGGGTACACCCATGTTGCAGGATTGCAGGTCAGGAGTGTGAAAAATGTCCTTGATTAGCAATACTACCCCGCCCCCAATTCCCCTTTCAGAAAAGATTCCCCCCCCCCCCCACAAAAGCATTCCAACACTAATCTGCATGCTCACCCTCCTAAACACCAATTCCCTCTTCAAGCCCAAATTCTCACCAAACAAAAATGCAAAATCCCCTCTTCCCTGTATAAATCCCCCCCTTCCCCCAGTATAAATCTTCCCCCCCCCCCCCCACCAACACATATCCACTGCCCCCAAATTGGCCATCAGCACAGAACTTTGACCTTCACAAATCCCCCCTCCTAGCAAAAATTTAATGACCCCCCTCAATCCTCTTACCACCCTCCAAAATCCCCCCTTCCAGCTAAATTCCACCCCCCACCCCAAGATCTCCCCACAAAGCACAAATCTAAAAAGATAAATCTACAAAATCCTCCCTTTGAACACAGTCTTTTTGCCCCACCTAATGCCCCCTCCTAGTGCAAATGTTACTGCGTCCCCAATATAATTTCCCCTATAACCACAGTGGTCGGCCTGCTGCTGTGACAGCCAACAAAATACCCAAACAGCAACTGCATCCGATTGGGTGCAGCTGCTATTCGGCTGACAATATTCCTCCTGGTTCCTTTGATTTTCCATCAAGGGATGTTGGGCAGGCAGGCAGCCATCTAGGCCACCCACTGAGTGAATTTAGTCAGTTCATTGGGTACCGTCTGTAATGTGAAGAGTGTATGGCCAGCTTTACACCCCTGGGGCCCAACCTGGAACCTCGGAGGGGTAGTATGGACCTCTAAACTCCCAAAAGGGGGCACAGACATCATTTAACCACTTCCAGTCCGGACACTTTCACCCCCTTACAGCCCAGGCCAAATTTCAGCTTTCAGCGCTGTCGCACTGAGTGACAATTGCGCGGTCATGCAACACTGTACCCATATGAATTTTTTTTGCTATAGCACAATATTTAACTGTATATTACATCACACGGTGTATATTATATCCCTGTATATTACATCACACGGTGTATATTATATCCCTGTATATTACATCACACGGTGTGTATTATATCCCTGTATATTACATCACACGGTGTATATTATATCCCTGTATATTACATCACACGGTGTATATTTTATCTCTGTATATTACATCACACGGTGTATATTTATATCCCTGTATATTACATCACACGGTGTATATTATATCCCTGTGTATATTACATCACACGTGTGTATATTATATTCCTGTATATTACATCACACGGTGTATATTATATTCCTGTATATTACATCACATGGTGTATATTATATCCCTGTATGTTACATCACACGGTGTATATTATATCCCTGTATATTACATCACACGGTGTATATTAGATCATGGTGTATATTATATCTTTGCAGAAGGAAAGGCTGGAACATTTGGAGTGCCATCGCAGTCACCAGATTAAATCCGATATTTGAGAACCTCTGGATCTGTATATTACATCACACGGTGTATATTATATCCCTGTATATTACATCACACGGTGTATATTAGATCCCTGTATATTTACATCACACGGTGTATATTATATCTCTGTAGCTGTCTTTTATTACATCACACGGTGTATATTATATCCCTGTATATTACATCACACGGTGTATATTAGATCCCTGTATATTACATCACACGGTGTATATTATATCCCTGTATATTACATCACACGGTGTATATTATATCCCTGTATATTACATCACACGGTGTATATTATATCCCTGTATATTACATCACACGGTGTATATTATATCCCTGTATATTACATCACACGGTGTATATTATATCCCTGTATATTACATCACATGGTGTATATTATATCCCTGTATGTTACATCACACGGTGTATATTATATCCCTGTATATTACATCACACGGTGTATATTATATCCCTGTATGTTACATCACACGGTGTATATTATATCCCTGTATATTACATCACACGGTGTATATTATATCCCTGTATATTACATCACACGGTGTATATTATATCCCTGTATATTACATCACACGGTGACTTTAGTGGACCAGAAGGACATCACACGGTTTTTTTTTTATTTCAATCACATTTTTATTAAATTTTGGTGGATTTATTTGAAGTGTTTGTGTTGATGATGAATTCACATGGTGTTTTTTAATTTTTTGAATTTATCCCTTTTATTTCATTTGATTGATTTTTATTTATTTTCTATAGCACAATAATTGAACTGTATATTTATTTTCCTCGCTGTGTTCTGTTAGATTTCTTGCGCTGCTTTCCCTGGTCGTGGTGTGTAAATATTACTCACCCGATACAGAACCATTCCAAGGAATACAAAGGCAATGAGAAGCACCGATAATGTCTGGAGATGTGGATCAGAACCTGTCAGGGATATAAGTCCAGGTTACCATTTTGTGAGACATATATTATATGCATCACAGTATAATAATTCACCATATAGGAACATC